TATATCTGTTCATTATTTTATTAGTTTTGACTGTAACTACGATCACAATATTGTGACGTTATTCCAATTCTCAATTTAGTTATGATGTATACAACAATGCAAAACGTAAAGCAATATTTTTAACCTAACTTTCAAAAGTTGTCTTCTAGTATTTTGTAATAATTCTACTAATTAGAAAGATCTTCATTTTTTTATCATCTATCAACAGCAGTTATTACGATATTGCATCCAATTAGTCATTTGATGATGTCAATGTTTTAGCATGATATTATAAACATCAAAACCTTTTCAAGTATCATAATGTATGCTGTATTGAAGCCTTTTTATTGGCCATAAAATATTTTGTTTTCGTTTCATCTATTTTGATTTTGAATTGATATTCTTTTTAATCGGTAGTTTAATTCCCGTATCTGTAGTAGCAGCAAAAACCAAATTAAAAACAATACAAAATCAAGAACATTTATACATCGATTTACGTAATATTGAGGACACGATTCCTTTCTTCAGACCTGAGATTGCTTGTCATTTATATAAATCTACTCCGAAAACTCCTTTATTACAGGGTTTTGTAACGTTTGTTGCCAGTCGACCTTGTTAGTAGTAGCTCTTTTTTAGACCTAATGTCACAGTTTTGAAGCAAGTATCACCGAATTTCAATGTTTTATGTATTGTACATGGTGAAAGTGTGTTGACTCTTTTAACGGAATTGGATTAAGATGAAAAGTATTCTAATACACAATTGTAAACACTAGATTGACTTTCATAACTAACTCCTAAATATAATACGATTTAGATGAGGCCAAATTCGGGTTCACATCCAAATAATATACAAAACTAGGTATTTTTAGCAAGGCTATTGGCATTTTTATAGGAATACGATTTGTGATATGCATATTTTGCCATTATGTTGCCGCTTTTGGATGTTTGGTCATGTACTAAGAGCTGGAAAGTAATTATATAAGCATGTATATACTAGATATGGGTCATCATCAATATGTAATATGAGGTATGAAGAGTAACAACTCACCTTAATATCTAACAAATCTATAAGCATGACAATAAAATGGCACTATCTTTGTCGGAACACGCCCACCGTATATATTTTTGCCATATTCGGCAGTGACAGAAAGCAGTTGCGATAATTTGACAAAGTTACTTCCATAATTTACTCTAAAATTACGTTTATTTATATAAATAACTGATTTTATATGTTGTGGTAAGTGTCTGAAAATATATGTTTCATTTTGGCTCGGTACAGAAAAACAAAAGTGGCTCTCCATCTCTATTTTATGTTAGACGAATTACGTCATTACTTACTTGGATTTACCAAGATTTACTGGCTGGTGTCATCGATGCAGCGGAAGACGCTTCCGAAACTCCAACACCTCGTCTTATTTTACTTTTACATAAGTTTTGATTATGATTATGTTTATATGTTGATATTCTCTTGTTATGTTTCATTTAACTGTCACTGACTATTAACATGTTTTCCTGACATTTTTTAAATATAATTCATTACTATGCTACAAGGTAAGGACTAGCAAATTTTGCGGATGCTAATAATTCTTGACAAAAAGTAATAAGAGAACGTATAAAAAAGATTAAAAACCAATTCATATTTCTGTCATGTTCGTTTATTTTTTCATGTCATATGTCATCTAGAATGTTACTCTTTAGGAACACTTGGCGTAAGAATTGTACAATAGAAGCATAAGGAAATGGCAATATTTTTTACACAGATATAGAATTAGATAGAGTAAATTAATGAATCAGACTGCACCACAAAGCTAATTTGACATTCTTTTAAACGGAGATGGGTTGCATGAGCTCCATTGATAACTATTCACTTGCGTGTCTCCTGTACAATATCAGTTGAACGAACATTAATAGATCTTTGTAACATCTCAATTGACAAGTGCGTATGCTTTTCCTTACACATAAACTCGCTTTATCGAATTCGATTTTGAGTTACTCATTCCTAGAAAACACTAGTATTTTATCTTCAATAAATGATGAAATATACTAATACCTTTCAAAAGAGTTAAATTCGGCCATAGGTGCTACAACATGAATGTTTACTACAGCTTTTCTCAAGAAACCCTGTCAAGTTATTGTTTATCACATTTCAATAAATTTTTAAATTGTACAGTTAATGCATGTGAAGAAAATAAACATTGCCTACGACCATCCCAAACATCTGTATACTCTGAAGCAGGACCTGAGTTTATGTTGTCGGTCTCCTAAGGCCGGTATTTAAGATTTATAATATCTCTTATCACAAACTGTTTTATCATTTGCCTCATAGAAATGTGTTGTCAGATTTTCGGATATTCAAAGTGCTAATATCTTTAATGCACCAGTTAGATTTAATGTGTACTATATTAAGATGTTATCTCCTCGGCAAAGAAAGGAAGTAACGTAACAGAAACCAATCATCCAAGATAATTGATTTTCCAATCGAAGGAAAAGGATAATGTCAATTAAAGCAGTACGTTATTGTCACCTGTTTCCATTACCTGGAATAAGAACGAACATTTTGATACAAACAACGCCTTTTAAGCATGACTTAATGGATCAACAAAATATTCTGATACCAAAAGAACAGACCTCTTTGTTCCCAGATTGTACTGCGTTTGTAATGACTTGTCTTACATCTTGTTTTTATTGCCTGGCGATAACTGTTGCCAGAGAAATTGAACACGCACTGGTCTGTCACTGTAGAATACTATTTGTTAATTGACCATCAAAACATTAGCATTTTCTGTTGACGTTTGAGTTTTCAAAAATAGATCAGAAGTATACTATTTTTGTTTAAGTTCTCGTTATAGTAGAGTGGTTGGTTTCAAATAGAGCATCGTTCCATACAGCGATCTTACGTATATAACACACATTAAATACGTTCATTTTTGGTTTCCCATTATCTTCTCTATTCTTTCGTTTTTGGTAAACCTGTGCTTTAAACGGGGAAAACGATATTTTAGTTTGAAAAGGTTTCATTTAAATCTGCAGATTCATTAACTACTCGTGAAATTTCAAATTGCGCAAACAATCATTTAAGTTGGTTGATGGTGACTGAAATTGCAAAATTTATTGCAGTGGCGGCTTATGTCAGATAAAATGTATCATACGATCATATTACTAGACGATACTTATAAAGGTACAAAGCTTACAATGTATACAAAATAAGCAACATAATTGACCATCTTTTACATGAACACATTCTGTTTTTGATATTAAGATCATGTCAGCTATCTAAGTTGTTATCATGTCTATTCTAACTGTATTGTCGTTAACATATTCCGACAGACATCTTTGTACATTTTGAAGCATTTTGCATCTTAAATTTGGCATTAGTTGTACATCTGTCTTAACTAAATCAGTATTGCCTGATAAAAGAACGCACCCATTTTTGGTGTGCATTTAGTTTGTACATGTACTGAAACTAAGAGTGATCAGTACATACGATAAATCACAATACGTGTACCATTGATTTGCACAGAGATGTGTGTATCCCGTACTTTCTTAGGGTATGATTAACGAATATGTCATAAACACCTCTTTCATGATTTCACGAAATCACAAAAATCATGACCATTGCGTTGAAAGAAAGACTAATCACAATAGCATTTTTATAAAATACGGGCTTAAATGGTTTTACCGAGATATACAAACAGTAACGCCATGAAAAGACAACATGATTAGGACACAGGTTTAAAATTGCTATATTAACAAATATTTGGTATCAGATATGAAAAAGACATGTTGATGTATTGCACCATTCGGTATGATATCGTTACCGATACTGATATACGTCCACTAAGATATGCTAAATATCAGTTTCGTTCTTCTAGATCTGTTCAGTGACCTATGATTATACGTAACTAAATTACTTTGTGTTTATTTTATTGTCAGCAACTTCCTCAGGGAAAATCTTGACTTTACGTCAAAATAAAAACCGTCAAATACATACAGTGTTCTTCGTAATGCAAACTCCTGCTGGCACATTTTTCGTCACAAGTGCAGTTATAGTCGACACGCACTTATATGTTAAAGTGTTCCCAAGAGAGATCATTCAATGCACATTAACAAGGGATTTTAAAAAGACACACAACTTAATAGTATCCTTCAAACTAAATCGGTAATTAGACATATGAAAACAACATAATGAATTAAACAACCACATACATCTGTTCTGTCCTTTTTATGACTGGTCTGTAATGTTAAAGCCTAAAACTTGAAACCTCGGAGGCGACTGAGGAAAATCAAAACCGATCGAAAGAAATGTCAAAATCTAGACGAGGAGGTGCACTTACCCAATCGTTCAATTATTTTTGCAGTTTCTATATATCTGATAATTTCTAAAGAACATCCAGATCTTGAGTATATTCCGAATCGTACTACAATTCGAATGAATATATACGCAACATACAGGTTATGTCTGCCAGCGATTGTTAATAAGAAAGTTTATTTCATCACTATTTTATTTTTTATTGGACTATGAAGACTATAAATTATACATTTATAAGGACTTTATAATAGTTTTATGACAGCGCCATGTTCATATTCCATACATTTTCATATCATCTGTCATCCAATCTCTAGATAAGTGAAGCATTATATTTCCAATGCTCTCTCTAACAAAAGAAATCACCCTTTACAAATTGTTGGTTTATATAAGTCTGTACGTCATACATACTGCCATCAGTTATAAGAGAACTCAAATATGATATATATGTTGTTTAAAATCAATTGCGAAACAATGCTGCCGGCGACGTTCCGTGTTATTTGTTGATAGCGATTAGTTTTCATGTTTTGTCATCAACACAGAGCATACGGCATCGAAGGTCTTGCTATCTTTATTATCGAGTATTATATGCAAAAGACAATAGACAATCATATTAGTATTTCGATATGCATAATTTTATATACGTTTTAGAAAAAAATAAATGTCGTTAAAGCACCTTGCAGGTACATTGTCTGATAGTAGTCATTTTACTTACCAATACTCGCTCTGGTCTACAGCTGCTGGCTCCTTCGGTACCACGAAATTTTGAAGTCCAAAAGGATAGGCTAGTGTAACTCTGAGAGTAAGCAGAAGGAACAAAGATATAGTTAATATGTCTGTTATTTTCACTGACATCACTCGGTCCATTTAATTCAGACTTTGATATAAGGTTTAAAGATTAAGCGAATTCCACCTGTCCCTAGGTCAGCAAGACACATTCATCGAATGATCTCTTTAGTACCAGGTGATGTGTGCGTGAATAGTACCTCGTTGTTCAGTATATGGGTGTATGTAATAAGGTAACGAGGTATCTGTCCGATCAGTGTAGTAATCAATAGAAATAGCTGCTTGTTAAGGTCCAAAGTACTGAAGGCTGCCACAGTGCTTTGAATTATATATGCTTTGAATATCATGTGAATTTCAGACTTGTCGTTGAAGGCATGAGGGAGGAGCAAATTGCAATCCAATGCTGGATTGTGGCATCAATCATGCCAAAGGGGAGTGTTCTAAGTGAACTATGTATTAGTTCTAATGACACCACGTTTATGTGAGAGTCCGGATGTTTTACTGACGGACATTTGGGATGTGATGAAAGAATATATTCGGAAGTGTGGATAATTGCCAGGTGAATGTATTGCAATACCCGCCCACAGTTGATTATACTTTCTACTTAGTGTTACTCTCGTCAGAAATATAGGATTGGCGTAATACATTTCATTTTTACGTTTTGTTTGCTTTATATTTGGTAACACTTAATTTTTCAAATATGACGTAAATCATTCACACAAATCCATCGACATTTTGTATCGTTTTTCAGAATCCAAAATGTAGATGACAGAATCGTATGAATCGACTGAGAAAGTACTTATCACAATATCGGAATTATTTCTCTCTCAAAATAAAAGGGAAACACACTTCATTGCTTTGTCGGGATAACATCACTGACCATGATGGCATTTGTTACATATCTTTTTAAATATATACACACTCCACGAAACATTTGTCAATATTTTGGTCTAGTCTCATCACATTTGTGTTTAAAATAGACAATTTAACAGGTCGATATTTTCCTGGTTGTTTGTTATGTTCATGTTTATTTCATTTAAGGATTAAGTAAGTATAAATATCGTATCTATTCTGTGTTTTGTATATAAACCAACGTGAAAAATGCTTAATCAGTTACAAAACCAGGCATGCTGGCAAGGCACACCGTTTGTAAAAGTAATAATCCTGGCAATGTACACTGTTAATAAATGTCATCATACCTGGTGACTTATATTGTAAATAAAAAAAAATTTACCAAGTCTATGCACGGCGAATGAAATCGTTTCTTTGTTTAACTTGTACTTATTTTGTGTTATATGACATACCAGGTTTTTTCCTTCTAATCTACCTTTAAACCTTACTTATTTCTGTTTTAGTTTTTTGTAACGATTTATAGAAGAAAAGTATATCCCTGATGCAGCGATGTTATTATTTGATTAATTGCTGATTTTGTCTTATTGGTATATTTAGTTTGTTTGTGTGTTCGTTATCTATATGATGCTAATCTACACCTGATCGTCCTTACGTCATCTTATCCACAAGGCGCTGACAATGATAAGAACGAATCAAAGCTCTGTTAGAATTACATTCTGCTAGTGTGTTTTCACCGTAGGTCGATGACAAGTAAAGCATGGAAACATTGGGAATTCCTTATGTATGCCTGGTTAATTATTCATATAGCCAGGCTTGTTTTGGTGTTTATTTTTTAACATGACGTAGGTGTGATGGGTTGTTTCTGTCTAATTACAGGTATAATTTTGCATACCTTGGTATGCAATTAAACATACATCATTGTGTTATATTAATGTACACTGCTATCACTTTTTGATTGGGTACTTGAGAGTTCTTATCGTATTTAGGTATTGTTGATCTACTTATAGCACTGACATGCGATTTGTATTTGTTTCTATGGTGCTGTATTTGTTTCTGTTCAGCCCATCCTATATACGATCTGATCTCTAAAGCCTGAAGCAGCCAAAATTTCATCAGCACTCAACCACACAGCAGAGTCAGCTTTCTTCAGAAAAACAAATCCATGAATGCAATTGGTTTAAACTGGATTTGATCAGATTACATCTCCTAAATTGTACTATAATTTAAAGAAAAAAGTTAACACAATCAGCCAAAGAGAACACGTTGTGTTGTGGCGCTTAAAAAATTAATGTTTGCCAAGGCTCACTTATTCCAACCTATTGCATTGTTTTTTTCTATTTTAAAAGTTAATACAGAGCTGAAATATTTCACTTATTCTATCATCATTTGAGGATTTATACTTTATAAAAAAAGTACAGAAAACATATCATATCCCAACTATCTGATATTCTATCTTTTCTCGATAATGATTTACAAAACAATTGCATGGATATTTTTATACTAAACTGTTTGATATCTTTCGAAATTTTAAAAACAATTTTCTTTGCCACATATATTCAACAAGTTCATACTAAATTTGAAATAAAACTTGTACGTCTATTTTACGTGTGGTGCATTTACGATAAGTTTGCAAATTAATCGATCCATGCAGGAAAATACAAACCAGTAATTCAAAGAAAGCATATAATCAAATTGAATTAAATCTTAAGATAACTGGCATGATGTAGATAGTTTGTTTTGCACACTTCACATGATCGAGGTCATCATATATTTGCATATGGAATTCTCTACCCGAGGTTATATATTTGGATCAGAATCAAGATATTGCAGAAGTACAACGAGATTTAGACCAGGTGTTCCGGGAAGGTAAGCTTCTGAATAATAAAAGAAATACACTATGTTACTCCTAGTCAATCCAAGGAATTTCTTACATCAATGGAACCGCAAGACACTATCTCGAGCACGAAGCTGTAAACTTCAACCGCATGTCACTATGATACCTGTAAAACTTCCTCAAAATCTATATACAGCCATAATTGAAAGGATGAAAAAAGAAGTTCTGTATGTATACAATGAATTTAAAGTATTGTATTCTCTTTATAACAATCCTTTATAGCAAATCCTTTTAGTCATGCGACAGAATCAGTTGCTGTCGGCAAGATCGTTATAAGCAAACAAGAAATGTTTTGACTTCTGATTTGTAAAGTCAACATTTCACTCTAACTAAAACTAAAGGTCACTCAGTGCACCTATGTAGGATCCCACACGGATGTTCTACATGGGATAAAAGCATCATTCATATGCAGACATGAGGAAAACTCCACACGAGGTTAGTGGAACGACAGTTGGTCAGCTATACGACGCCCCATTGTGATGTCGATTTATCACCCCATGTAGCGTAACGATGCATGTTACAAGTGGAGGATGGCACTACTTAGACACACGCATAGACTTCACTTCAATCTAAAATAACTATCGGCATATCAATAAAGATATCAGTTAAAGAATAATCAATGAAATGATGGCCAGATACATACATAAAAATGATTAAAAAACAAGACTACAATCTTATATTGGTAAACGTGTTTTACTCGACGAAATATAAATATACCTATGTGTAACCAACAAGCAACACGTTATTGTACCACGGCATGATTCATATCATTTTTGTATTATTTGCTGTTTGTTTTTTGCTTTTGTTTTGTTTGTTTGGTTTCTTGTTTTATTCTTTTTTAATTGTTTGTTTCTTTCTTTCTTTTGAAGAATTTAAGAATATCAGACAACGAAAATTCCGAAGAAATATATTGATGTGATGAGAATCCTTTAAACTACTACATGTATTGTTTCGTGCCTGTGCCTAGAAATGAGGTGACATTGTATCATTACTATTGATCATTTTACGGTGTTCCGAGCCCTTTCATTATAATCTGCAGACCAGTCAGTCATGACAGTAGTCGTTATGGTAGGTTACAGGGAATCGCCTAGTACATCAAACTCATGCAATTAAACGGACGAAACATAACATCACACCCCAGGCATTTAACGAAACACTTCTGAACACATGATTACAGCCACTAAAAACAAAACAATGAAGACTTTGCGATATAAAATTGTACTCTGCAACAGATACATCGACGAATTAATTCAACATTTAGAGGATATGATAGCTAGGAGGTTGATATAAAATCTAATACATCTCAGAACATTTGGCTGTTAATGTGTAGCTGAGCCTTTTTTATCATTAAGTTTCCCTTTTCTAATTAAATGTATGTATATATGTAATCTATGACGTAATAGCGACAGTACGAACAAGCGAATGGTCAAAGTTTCGAGGCAATCTGACCCTTTATCAAGATACAAATATTACATAAATTACATCACATACATAGAACATAAAACAAATACAAAGTTAAGTTTAGGTGTCTCGCTGATCCCTTCGGCCGATTTACGCCGAAGACCCTTTATAGCGGTCAAAAAACCATCACAAGTTGTTGTATGGAAGATGGTGATTAAATATAAAAAATGGTTTAAATCAATCTCGGTATGTTTATGTGATCGCAACGAAAACAATTGCACATCACACTCCGAGGAAGGTAGTCTACCGGTTCATCTCGATCACATCCTTAATGAGGAATTGTGTGATTAAAAATAAGAAAATTTATTGTACAAAAATAATAAATGTATGTATATATATATATATATATATATTGTATAAGATGCATGAAATCAGTTTAAATTTCTCAGTACGATGGTACCATTAATACATCTTCATAGTAAGTATTGAAGGAATTCCCTTCTTTGTTTTCTTTCACTACAAATCAAATGTAGTTTTCAAGCTATTAAACAAATTATCAAAAAATATAGGAAAATTCAAATTTCATCTAAAGGAACAGTAGATCGACTCAATATATAAATAAAATTCACTCAACAACAAAAAAAAAAAACAAACAAACAAACAGCATGTCCCTTTATGCCTTTCACAGAAATCGTGACTTTTGTCCTTGACCGTGAACTTTCTAAAATTCAAATCTGTATGATAAGGAGGCAGCTAATGAATATTCAAAAAGCCAGGTTAAAAAAATCAAATAACAAGTATTTTGAAAATGGATTCATAGTTGAGATATATGGAGATAGTGATTGCTGAAGAAAACTGCATGACGTCAATATGAATAACAGGCCGATTTAGCAAGCAGTTTTGATGGGTTTTTTGCTTCGCATGGTTTTAAACG